AAGCTCCCGGATCCAGACACGCGCAAGGCGCTGTCCTTTCAGCACCACGAGCCCGGCCGAGGAGGGAGGACTCTTGGCCAGGCTCCTGCTCTCCAAATTGGCTTGAATCTGCTCTGACCCCCAAGAGTGCAGCACAGTAAGTAGGCATTTGTTTTTGCTCTAACCACTCCCCAACACCCTCCACCCCTCCGCCATCCCTTCACCCCCGCAACAACCCTATTTTGTCTCATGATGTTCCACCGGCGGGATTGACAGGAGACGTTCAGTTGTGCTGGGCTTCTGGGGGTGGGGTGGGAGCGCCACTCGTGTTCCAAGGGAGCCAGAGAGGAATACATGCGATGTGTTTATCTCGTTGGCAATCTTGCAATACCGGGCTTGCTAACTTTCCGTGGGAGCAAAAAAATAAAATAAAAAATGGCCCTTTGCTATTGAGGAAATGGAGGCATTCGTGGCTGAATAACAGGGTCAGGTTCAAACCGGTTCCTTTTTGTTTTGTTTTAGGGAATTGTATCTTCTGTACAAGATACATGTTACATAAAAGGGTCCATTCCCCATAGAGACAGTGAAGATATTTGTTGTGCTTCAGGGAGATTGCTGAAGAAAAGCCAATAGAATAAAATAGCAGCCAGGGTGGTAGGGAGAAATTTGTCATGCTGCAGGGTGACCCAGAATAACAGGATTTAATTGTGCACTATAAGCTTCTCTCTAGATCCTACACCTGCCTCGCTCTGGTGTCTGGGATATACTTTTAAGCTTGTATATGTTTTGTGTGTGTGCACCTGGGATGTTCGCAAATTTGAGGGCTGTCGAGCCCTGTGGGCAGATGGCGTATTTTGATGATTAAAGAAGTTGTCCTGGGAATCGTGTAAGGAAATCTAGCGGGAGATCAATGCCTGCTCTCTCCACTGAAAGCCGCCCAGTGGGCTGCTGAGGACAGCGCTGTTCCTCTCCCTGCCTCGCCCCCCACCGTAACCAGAATCCCACTGCTCGCCTAGGTCCGGGAAGAAAGGCACAAGGATGGTGAAGCTGAACAGCACCCCGGGCGAGAAAGGCGCCAAGCCGCCCTCGGTGGAGGATGGCTTCCAGACCGTCCCTCTCATCACCCCCCTGGAGGTGAATCACCTGCAGCTGCCTGCTCCGGAAAAGGTAGGGCCGGGCCCTTCTCCGCCAGCCCCTCCTCCCGTCTCAGGAAATAAAGCAGCAAAACATCCCACCCAGACCCTTTCCTTCTGCGTCAGCCAAACACAGCCCCTTTCTTGTCCAATATAGTCATTCCTTCCAAAGGCATGACGTCACCTGTGTGCTTTCAGATCTGTGGTGAGTGTGCCTTCATTTGTTTGGTTCACATGTCTTCCTTTTTAAGGGTTGATCCTGGCAGATGAACACTGATAATCAGCTTCTAAAAGGTGGCCGAGATTATTTTGGGGAGATGTTTCAGAAATTGACTGCTGCAGATTTGGGGACAGAGAACCGGATGCGGTCCAACCAGCATTTAGTTAGCACCTGTGAAGGGCCTGTCCCTGTGCTGGAAGCTGGTTATAGAAAGACAGGTTACCAAATCCCTACCAATGCGTGCATCACGGTAAAGGCTCTTGCCAAGCAGTGCAGACGGTGAGCGCCCAGGTGGGGCCAA